GATTTTCAAATGTTTGCTAGAGATCAGTAAAGCCCCTGGTATCCAGCCCTGTTCACCGCCTGCGTGTAATATTATTAAACATTTACCCCTTCAACATGGAGCTTTAGTTGTACAACTTGGTGAATTGTCTGTGTACCCTTTTTTTTTTGACCTGAGACTGTAGAGTTCGTTGCACGTCTTATCAGACTCAGCTTTCCACACAAGCTCTGAGTTATAAAGTTCGCAGTGCTGCCATTGTCAAGAAGCAAACGAGCCGTGTGTAGGTGACCATGAATATTCTTCACCTTCAATAGTGCTGTGGATAGCAGGACATGGACTTGATTATTATTTATGTTTGCTAAAACAATGTCTGTGGAAAGGGCAACACTGTTCTCAAAGGCAGAAGATGATACATTTTCTGCCTCAGGTTCCTTATGTAGCAAGGTATTATGCTTAATATTGCAATACTTACAATGAGATAAACGGCAACCTTTTTTATGAATGACCTGGGTGCAAACAGTTAAGGCATACATGAGCAGCTGTAGCTTGTTTTATACGTGAATCAACGCTTAAGCTTCTAAAAGAGGGACATAAGTATAAATAATGTTTATCACTACACATGGGACAGCTAATCTCATTCATTGCATTTTTACTGTTTGTGTGATCTGTAGTGGTAATGAAGCTCTTAGACTTAGGCAGTTCAAGTGTTTTTTGTTTTTGTATATTATGTTTGTTATTATTAAACAATGTTATAATTAAGTCTGCTCTATTGTTTAAAAATTTTAAAAATTGTTGTAATGTTGGAGAACCGGTAAGAATATTACGATACTCCCACACGATACTTCCCATTCGCGACACGATATACCATCTAACTTGCGAGACATCATAAGAATAATAAGCGTATCCCAATGGTCGGTGGGCTCACCCAGAGTAGCAAGGGCCCTCAAGTTTTTGTTGGTGACATCAATAATGTTTCTTAAACACACGCTAGATTATTTTTGTGAAGGCTCAAATTCGAAAAGGGCTTGTGCGTGGTTATTTACGAGCAGTCGTGGATTATCATACCTGTCTGATAGAAGTTGCCATGCAATGGCATAGTTATCAGATCTAAGTTCTAAACTGTGCACAATTAAAGCTGCACTACCTTTTAAAGCAGCGCGCAAATAATGTAATTTGTTTATATCACTCAAGCTATTGTCATTGTGTATAAGTGAAAGATACGTATCTCGAAATGCAAACCAGCGCTGATCGTCGCCGTCAACGTGTGGCAGGTCGATTTTGGGCAACCGCACAAAGTCATGTCTGCAACTAGTGGAACCCTGACTTGTCACCGACTCTTCACCGGGTCCCGAAGATGACTGCAGCGTAGAGGCGAGCAAGGTACGCGCCAGCGACACGGCGCCATAATATTGTGTCTTGAATTGCTCGCGCTCAGCAAACTGATCCTCCTGTTGTTCGAACTGTAGCTCAATGTTGGCCTGTAACGCATCGTAATCACTATATATCGCATCAATTCGACTTAAACGACACTCCAATTCAATGCCTGCAACTCACTTAATTTCGCACAGCTTTTGTATACATTCAAAACGTTCACAAATTGAGTCAGATTTGCTTTAAACGTGGCACGTTTTTTCACTAGCTCCTTTAGTTTTGCATCAGCCATGATTACTAGACTAAATTTACAAAAAAAGAATTCCGAAAATGAACAGTAATTCGACAAATATACCGATGGATGGGGAACTTAAAAAAGACTTTGGGCGATGTGGATGATCATACTTTTAAGTATAAAAAGAACGTAATTATTGTTAATGCCATACATAGACCCATGTGTGAGGATTAACGCTCCACATGCTTTGCGCACAAAGGTAACATTTTGGTAGAATTTGTTAATTGATTTGTATAAGTAAAGGATTATAATATATATGTATATATATTAGAGTATATTGAAATCGGAGAAAATAGTTATATTGCTACACAGAATTATCGATTACCATACATTAATATGTATTTCAACCAATGATAACCTTCTCTTTTTTGAATTCGATAGACAAGGAATTTATGATTCCTTATATTTACGCGACCACTACACATTGATTAAAACTACTTTTACGGATTTTATCGCATTTACATCTTGAACCGAGCTTCTATTAGAGCATTCTACAAGCTGAAGAAGATTAGTCAGTTTTTAACATCCGTTAAGTGTAATATACCTCTACAAGATGAAGGAATGTACAAAATTAATTGTGAATGTGGTCTCTCTTATATAGGACAAACAAAAAGATCAAATAGAATCCGCGTAAAAGAACATATAGCTGATGCGAAGCATCAATGTTCCGGGAAGTCTGCAGTTTGTGATCATATCGTATACAGCCCCAACCATTACATCAGATTTGATAGATCAAAAATCCTCCCAAAAGAAAACCAATTCCAACCAATGATTAACGTGGGGCTATTGAAATTAAAAAAAACTTCTTAATTTTAATAGGGAAGGAGACTGGCTACTACCACCTGCTTGGGACCCTTTAATAAATTAAATTAAAATTAAACCCAAGCACACCACTGCAAGACTTCAAAACATAGTTAGTTCATTTTGCATAGATCGGACCATAAACAGTAGTTAAAAAAGCTGAAGGTACTCCGGGTTTAACAATGACATCGGGACGTCAGTCATCTCAGTCCCCCGTGACCATACGTGCTAGAAAGCACCCGAAATATCAGGAATTAAACATATTTAAATAAACGCGATAAAATCCATAAAAGTAGTTTTAATCATTAGGAAGAATAAAAATAAGACATTAGGAAGAACTAAAATATTTTTTAATTTCGTTCCAGTTTTCTAGATACACCAACTGCATAAACAACTATATGATTTTAGGGGATTTCAAAGTTACATTTGATGTGGATGAATCAATGTACTTGTATAATAGGTGTAGATAGGTACGTTGTTGAAATTCCCAGATATTACTGAAACTTTTTTTGTTTCAGAAATAACTGATTTTAATATAATGTACCAAAACGATGTAGTATTCATGAAAAAATATTTTAAAAAATATTCGTGGCCCGGAAAAAGCCGGAAAACGAGTGGCGTTATAACGCCCGGTAGTAAGATCGGCTACTAAAAGTAAAACATTTTTTGGAATTAAATAAAACACAAAACATACGCTCACAATGATTTATTTGCCAAGAATCTAAACTTGTATGGTATGATAGGAAATAAAACATGTTTTTGGGTGTAAATACAGCCGACATTTACGACAAATGAAATTGTTTTTTTTTTTTACAAATAGTGCAGCGGCTTTGAGATTCTTCATATTCAATTAGATGATCAATGCGATCGTATCGCGAGCTTTCTCTATAGTTGCTGAGAGTACAGCAAGGTCCGCGTTTTTCTGTTCTTTTATACGTCTCCAATAATTCTCTTGCAACTACTCTACGAAAAGTTAAGTGGTATTCGCCATCATCACTTTTGTACAACTGCCAGGCATTGTGGGTAGCCATATCCAAGCTATGACAAAATAACGAAAAAATACCATTTTTTCCCCTGGATCGAAGTTCTGTATAAGCCAATATTTTGGTCAGTTCTATCGACTCCACCCATATTTTAGTTGTATAATTTTATGATAGCAGGTTGATCAATAAACACATATCTTTTCAATTGTTGAGAAAACCGCTTGGCTTTGTGATCCGGCTCAATTGTTTCCGCATTACAGGCGACACTTACGACACTATTGTCATTCCATTTGCAGACTAAGATCTGCTTGGGTTGACTAAACTTATAGACGAATGTGCCCCTTTCTGTTTTTTTAAAAACCTTGTTTTCAGGTAGTGGGCATATAGAGGTACGATTCTCACGAATAGTTCCTGTAACTTTCAATCCTCTATTACTCAATTCGTGAAAAAGAGGGATAGGAGAAAAAAAGTTATCAAAAAATAAATGAAATTGAGTGTTTGGGTAGCATGATTGTAAAACATCAGCAAAGCTCTAAATTACACTTGCCCTTAATCCAAGTTGTTTACAGCATGCTGGGATATTTGAAGAATGTCCCTGGTATGGGTTAAACCAAAAAACATACCCCAACATAGTTGCACCTACCCACAGTTTATACCCCCATCGGATTGGTTTCCCGTGTATAAACTGTTTGCAACTATGGCCTCCATAGTATGGTACCGTAAAGTTAAAAGTAAAGTAAAGTTACAGCCTATATACGTCCCACTGCTGGGCACAGGCCTCCCCCTCATTTCTGAGGGGGGGTTTTAGGGAAGGAAGTGTCCGCCGCGCTGCCCCAATGCGTGTTGGCGAACTTCACATGTCTTCGAAATATTTTTTTTCTTATTCCTCAGACATGCAGGTTTCCTCACGATGTTTTCCTTCACCGCCGAGCACGTGGTAAATCAGCACTTAAAATTGCAAGTAACAATTTCATTGGTGCCGGCGGGGCTCGAACCCGGGTTACTCGCGTTCTGTTATATTTACAGCGAGCGTTAACCATCTGAGCTACCACGGCTCGCTTGGCTTGTATGGTACCGTAGCTTCGTCAAAACTATAGTTTTGTTCAAAAGGTGCCATGTCTGAGAAAATTTTATTTAGTAAATCAAACAAAGGCCTAAGTTTCGCAAATTTATCACTATCTGTACGAATGACATTGTTGGCACAGCAATGTAAGTGTTTCATTATCATTGTGAAACGATTCCTAGACATGGCATTATAAACAACATCAAAGTGAGTATCAGAAGATTTCTCCCAATACATATACCTGCGTGGTACCACAACATAACCGCTGTATAAAAGTATACCCAAAAAACACTTCATTTCTGAAGTAGTTATATTAGCGATGACATTCCTTTGGCTTGCGTAAAGATTAGAGTAATGTACCAAAATTTTGATTGTTTCATCATTCACCATATACTCATAGTAGTACAAAGGTGACTGTAGATTTTATGGGCCCTCACGATCCTGCCACTGTGTAAATTTACTTAGATAGTGCCTGTTGCGCCACGTATACTGTTGGGTTTTGCTTACACTAGGAGTGACGTTCCTCGATGAACAGCTTATAGATGGAGGATGAACAGCTTATAGATGGAGTAGAGCAAGAAGTAGAAGATATCTGTTGATTCAAATCTTCTGGCAAGCATTCATTGGCATTGCGTGTTCTTTTTGCTAACACAGGCAAAGATAAAACATTTTCAGAATCGTCACGGTCTGAAAAAATATCATCATAAGTAATCTCTGCTGGAGCTCTTAGCTGGGAATCTGAAAGGTAATAAATACATAAATCATTGTAAGCATATGTGTTGTATACAATTGATTGTGAGTTCAGCGACTGAAATGAATTTCGTAATATGCTCAAAAGACAAACCTGGGAGATTATGTAATGTCACAAATTCTTCATCACCAGAATCTTCGTCTGTTATTTCGTTATTTGGATCTTCCGGTGGAAAAAAAATAATGTGTAATGCATCAACTATGTCGTTGAGATTCAAAGGTCGTTTCGTCAGTGATCTAAAACATAATAGTAATAATAAATAGACGTCAATTTTACTACCGGGCGTTATTACGCCACAAGTTTTTACATAAGATAATTTTCATGAAAAACCGTGAAATCCAAGTTTATTTTATGTTACATTTATATTAAAATAATAGTTATTTACGTGATTCTACGTTGTAGTGTTTAAAACTTTATAAGTATATTTAAAAAAAAAACTTACCTTTTTGAAGCCATGTCGCAAATCAATCACACTGTTAATTTAAAACACGTCTTCAAAATAATGGACGCACTGTAACAAATAGTAGGTGCACATTAAAGACGGACCGTTTCTGATAATGGCAATGTAAAACGATCTTTGTTTATACAACATTGAACATATAAATTTGGCGGGTACATTTATCATTCAATTAGTGGCGTTATAAAGGACGGTAGTAACAAGTGGTTTAAAAAAATGCAAGTATTTATTCGTTGTCTACATTTACACATCATGTGGATATATAGAATCAAACTAATTAACTGTCATTATTATATTATTGCTCTAACATTGAACTTCCGTGTAGAATTCTATTTACTATGGTTTTTGATATGTTTTCCGTTTCCGTTCCGCTTAAACATGTGGATCACCTTGGTGTAAATATATTTTTTTTAATTTCATTTTCATTTGAATACTGTACATAAAGTGGCACATTCTAAAACAATGAGAATTATAAATTATTTATCAACATTTAATCTAAGATCACTAGCAAGTGAATTCAGATTTATGATTCTTGGGTGATCTTACATGATATGGAATGTGATGAAATCACAGACATTAAATAAAACAGCTACTAGTTTAAGGACAAAAGTTGCCATTCTCATTTAGAGTAATTAAACGATAGGTTTTTTATAAGATAAAAATAAAAAACGATTCAAAAAAGGAATTATACCTCGATAGAACTTAATTATTGATATTATATTTATTTATTTAACCTTCCCTCAGGTCTCTCACATTGTATGGATGATTTGACTTTATCTTCACACTCGGAATATGGATTGGCACATGCTGCACCAACACTTTTAATACTGCTCCTTGTTGCCAGCCTGTATATTTATGTACACTAATAGAGATGGTTATACCAATTTTTATTGAAAGTCATGAAATCCTCTAGAATATCATCTAGTCGCTTTTTTCTTGACAAGAAGAAGAAAAAGTTATTTTTATCTACCTTAATAAATACTTGTGACAGATATGGAGTCTCAGACAGAGCAGCAGCAGTAATCGCTTCATCCCTTTTGTACGATATTAGATCAGATATTGAAGTTATTGACATACATAAATTACAACCTAGATCGAAATATCGTCGGAAATTAATAAATAGACGACACTAATAAACAGAACTTTTCGCTTTGTATTTTGATGACAAGAAAGACAAAACTTTAAAGATTTAAAAAAAAGATAATAAATATTACAGAACATTGACTGTTGAAAAGCACATTTCCCTGGAACATCTTGTGGCAATAGGTTGTGATGGGACTAATGTAAATTCTGTAAAGTACGGTGGTATTATACGATTCCTTCAAAATAGACTACAAAGGCCCCTCCAATCGATTGATTGTTTACTGCATATGAACAACTAACCCAAGTCTTATACTGGTCAGTTGGGAAAGATACTGGAAACTTGTGAAAAAATGCCGACTAAAAAATTCCAACCCATCGAAATAGTATCACTCCCAGAAATGGTCCCAAAATTGAGCTCAGATATAAGTACTTGCACAAGATTACAATCAAGTTCTTTTGCAGAAGATCTAGTAAACAGCGCTCCAGGTACATAATTTCATGTTCGTTGGCTTACACGTGCTAGTTGAATCCTACGTTTGTATGTAGCAACATATACAGCGGTTATGTTGTGGTACCACGCAGGTATATGTATTGGGAGAAATCTTCTGATACTCACTTTGATGTTGTTTATAATGCCATGTCTAGGAATCGTTTCACAATGATAATGAAACACTTACATTGCTGTGCCAACAATGTCATTCGTACAGATAGTGATAAATTTGCGAAACTTAGGCCTTTGTTTGATGTACTAAATAAAATTTTCTCAGACATGGCACCTTTTGAACAAAACTATAGTTTTGACGAAGCTACGGTACCATATTACGGAGGCCATAGTTGCAAACAGTTTATACACGGGAAACCAATCCGATGGGGGTATAAACTGTGGGTAGGTGCAACTATGTTGGGGTATGTTTTTGGTTTAACCCATACCAGGGACATTCTTCAAATATCCCAGCATGCTGTAAACAATTTGGATTAAGGGTAAGTGTAATTTAGAGCTTTGCTGATGTTTAACAATCTTGCTACCCAAACACTCAATTTCATTTATTTTTTGATAACTTTTTTTCTCCTATCCCTCTTTTTCACGAATTGAGTAATAGAGGATTGAAAGCTACAGGAACTATTCGTGAGAATCGTACCTCTATATGCCCACTACCTGAAAACAAGGTTTTTAAAAAAACAGAAAGGGGCACATTCGTCTATAAGTTTAGTCAACCCAAGCAGATCTTAGTCTGCAAATGGAATGACAATAGTGTCGTAAGTGTCGCCTGTAATGCGGAAACAATTGAGCCGCTTCACAAAGCCAAGCGGTTTTCTCAACAATTGAAAAGATATGTGTTTATTGATCAACCTGCTATCATAAAATTATACAACTAAAATATGGGTGGAGTCGATAGAACTGACCAAAATATTGGCTTATACAGAACTTCGATCCAGGGGAAAAAATGGTATTTTTCGTTATTTTGTCATAGCTTGGATATGGCTACCCACAATGCCTGGCAGTTGTACAAAAGTGATGGTGGCGAATACAACCACTTAACTTTTCGTAGAGTAGTTGCAAGAGAATTATTGGAGACGTATAAAAGAACAGAAAAACGCGGACCTTGCTGTACTCTCAGCAACTATAGAGAAAGCTCGCGATACGATCGCATTGATCATCTAATTGAATATGAAGAATCTCAAAGCCGCTGCACTATTTGTAAAAAAAAAAACAATTTCATTTGTCGTAAATATCGGCTGTATTTACACCCAAAAATATGTTTTATTTCCTATCATACCATACAAGTTTAGATTCTTGGCAAATAAATCATTGTGAGCATATGTTTTGTGTTTTATTTAATTCCAAAAATGTTTTACTTTTAGTAGCCAATCTTACTACCGGGCGTTATAACGCCACTCGTTTTCCAGCTTTTCCGGACCACGAATATTTTTTTAAATATTTTTTCATGAATACTACATCGTTTTGGTACATTATTATTTAATACATTTCTGAAACAAAAAAAGTTTCAGTAATATCTGGGTTAAATTATAACATGAAATAAACTTTAAGAATTGAAAACACATAGGAAGAGGTAAGCTTTTGCATTAAAATACACTTAAAAAAACATACTTAATATGCAGCACTGTTATAACTGTTACCAGTATGAATATTTGTTTGCGTTAACCGTAAAATAGCGGTTTCAATCCACATTTTTCAGTTCAGATTCAACTGGTGGAGATTGTTAAAATTCATTAAGTCTGTTCTAGATAATATTTTAAAATTAAGATGACAACAATAAAGTCCGGATGTATATTAATAAAATAATTAACTAAAATAACCTTAAAATTTTATTTATTCAATGTTGTTTTTCACGATTTGCTGAACAGTAGCAGAGACATGATTAATTGTAACATTGTTGTTGTTGTATCATTGCCTGAAAAGAGCTATTGTAACTTAGCTCTACCGAGGACTTTAATTGTAGTTATTTAGCATCTGTAACTATAAAATATATCTTTATTTTATTAAATTAAAAGCGTTTATTCATCTTCACTTGTATTTATGTCCTGGAATTTTGCAATCAACATTTCACAAATTTTTACTGAAGCTATCGGACTTAAATTTAGCACACATGTTGGGTTTTTGAGACAATGCACGGTTAGTTAAATGCTGCCATTTTTAATCCAATATACCGGACGTTACAAAGTAGCGATTTATCATTTCCACAGCAATACCTACGATGGGGGTATAAAATGAAAGAACTTTATGGGCAAACCACTATAAGTAAAGCGACTTCATTCTAAATACAATATGGCGGACATCAAAAATGGCGGTTTATTATTTCCATAGTAAACTCTACAGTATTGGTATTAAATGAAATGGCTCGATGAACGAAACACAATTAATAAAGTGACATCTGTCATATATAAAAATGAATAGACACGACAGCGTAAAATTGGAACAATAGGTACATAAACTAGCAAATGCGGAAGTTACAAAGCTCTTCTTCCCGAATGCAACACAAGCGCATCAGATTTAAAAAAAAAACATGTGCTTGTGCAGGTGCTGACGGGTCACGGTGGATTCGGTCAGTACCTGCGTAGGTTTAAATGTAAAGATAATCCCGCACGTATACGTAATCCTGATGTCGAAGAGGGGATAGTCCATTTAATAGTAGATTGTCCAAAATACGGTTTAGCCAGAAATGAAACAAAAATAGAAATGAAAGAAAGATTCGAAAAGATAATTTGTGGGAAATAATGAAGTCTAATAAAAAAGATATATTTATAGACTATTTATGTGACATATTATGCTGGCCTTTCAGACCAGCGGCAGAATTTATTAAAAAGATGGTAATTTGTTCGATATTACAAATTCAGTTCTAAAAGGTTATGATATTTTTACTTTAATTCCTTACTTACTTACTTATCTTCACGCACAATCCCTAACGGGGTAGCCAGAGAGAACAGATCGCCAAGTGTCACGATCCTTACATACCTCTTTTGCTTCTTTCAGGTTCATTAACTTCTTCATACATGCACGTCTAGGTATCCGAGTACTCTTGACCCTCCCCTCTTCGAGCAATTTGCTCACATGGTCTTCGAAAGTTAGTCTCGGTCTACCTCGACACCTTTTAATATTTACTTTCGCTCTATATATTTTCTTCACCATTCGGTCTTCACTCATTCGTTCAACGTGCCCAAACTATTGGAGTACGCCCCTATCACTTTTTGTGATAAGGTCATCTTTCAATCCTGCCATATTGCGAATCTCTTCGTTTCGCTTTCGGTCGGCTAAGGTAACGCCACACATTTTACGAAGAGATCGCATCTCCACTGCATTCAACTTGCTTTTATGCTTCTTCTGGCATACCCAGGTTTCGCTGCCATATAACAAAGTCGGTACCAACACTGCATTATGTATTGCAAGGCGTGCACTCTTCACCACGCCTTGCCTTTTTACTAATGCATTCAGGGCACCATTGAATTTGTTTCCGGCAGCGACAGGCCTATCCACATCTAAATCACATCTTCCATCCCGGCTGAAAGCACTCCCCAAGTATACAATTTCATTTACCTGTGCTAGACATTCCTGATTTACCCATATTTCACATTTCGTTCTCTCTTCATCCTTTTCAAATACCAGAACCTTAGTTTTATTAGCATTCAGACGGAGACCTTTAATTTCACATTCCTCTTTCATACATGTGACTAATGCCTGCAGTTCTGCTTCTGATGGTGCAATAAGCACTGCATCATCAGCATACAGCAGACAATTAACTTTTATGTCACCCAATTTCACACCCAAACAGCTATTTTTCAGCGCCTGTAAACAGCTGTCGAGATACAGTATGACCAGCCAGGAAGACATGAAACAACCCTGTTTTACGCCAGCTTGGACGCTAAACATGGGTGACAGGTCATGCCCTACCCGCACACAGGCTTTACAGTCATAGTAAAGTGACTTGACACAGCCCTTAACAATCGACCATCCACACATATCCCGGCAACAGTTCCCACATTTTCTTCCTTATAACCTTATCAAATGCTTTCTCCAGATCCACAAAAGTACAGAAAATCTCCTGGTTAACACTCAGAAGCTTCTCCGTGATCATGCGGAGAGAAAACATTTGATCTGTGCATCCTCTTCCAGGTCTAAATCCGCATTGTGCCTCCCATAAGAATCTTTCCGATTTCTCTTGCATCCTACGTGTCAAAACCTTCGAGTAAACTTTACTTGCTAAACTGGTCAAGCTGATCGCCCGATAGCACCCGCAGTCAAAATGTGAACCTTTACCTTTATATAAAGGCACAATGACCGCGGATCACCAATCATCCGGGACATCTCCCGTCCGCCAGCACAAATTGCACAGCAGATGGAAGCTGTCCCAGACGCGAGGCCCACCGTACTTGACCATTTCAGCAGTAACTCTGTCTAGTCCCGCAGCCTTACCACATTTCAAACTTCGAATCGCACGTTCAATCTCTTTCATGCTGATGACCTCAGTGTCATCG